TAGGAGACTGTACTGTCTGCAAAGCCCTCTGGGCGTGGAAGGGCACAGGGCCCCCGTCCTGAGGGAGGAAGTGGGAAGCTCAGGGAGTAGGTTCTTAGTGACCCACTGACACAAATTTTGGGCAAGATGGAGGTTTAATGGCAGAGCTGCTGAGCTTCAGGTGTGGGGGTGCTGGGCCCAGAGTCTGATCTGGAGCTGGGGTTCATCTTTCAGACAAGAGGGGAAGGCACTGGAGGCCCCAGAGAAGGGCACAGAATTAAAGGGCCCAACCCAAAGTCAGTGTCTTAGCTAAGGGGTTATAGATGAAGGGAGGAGGTGTCTCTGGGTCCCAGGATAGAGAGAGCTGATGACGGAAGCCCTCCCTAGGGGTGGGAGGGTGAAGGTAGAGAGGGGATGGGCTGTCTGTAACACCTGGAAAGCAGCCGTGCGTCTGCACCACAGAGCTTGCTCCATCTCTCTAACAGGAGCCTGTGTGGACATTGCCTTTCTCTGGGAAAAGGGTTGTGGTGGAAAAATTCTGAAGCCCTCTTGCCTCTGCCATTGGAGTTATGGTAGTTTTTTTTTTTTAAGCTTTGCAGTGCTGTCTAATAGAACTTTCTGTGCTGATGGGCATGTCCTGTATCTTCCTGTTCAACATGGTAGCCGTGGCTCTTGAACCCTTGAAATGTGGCTAATGCAAGTGAGGAACTGAGTTTTAAATTTTATTGAATGGTAACCCATTTCATCTTAAATAACCACAGACAGCTCATGGCTACAGCATCAGACTATTGGACAGCACAGCTTTCGAGAGTAAAAAGTACTTCCACATTCACGATCCCTGTTGAGACTTACAACAACTCTCTGAGGCCGTAATTATCAGACCCACTTTATGGATGAGACAACTGAGGCACCGGTTGAGGCATCTCAATGAGATGAGGCATGCCCAAGATCACGCAGCTGGGATGTGGCTAAGCTGGAGTCAAACAAAACCCTCTGACTCCATGCTCTTTCTGCTACCAAGTAGCTGATCACAGAGGCTGCGAGCAGATGGTAGGAGCAGCTCACATAGTGGGAGTTGAGCAGCCCGCACTGTGGGAGCTGTTTCCAGAATCTTCCTCAGGCCTACCCATTCTGAGTTTGGTCTCCTCCCAAAGGTGGGGATTTTGTGTGGAAAATCTGAGCAAACCTCTGCTTGACGGTTTTGGAGCAGAGTGATGGTAGAAGGGGCACAGCCAGGAGGTGGGGGGTTGGAGGAACAATGCCTTCTATTTCTTACTTTCAAAGCAATTTTGAGAGTTTTCTTTTTATTCCCCTCTCTTTTGGCATCCTGCTAACTCACAGAGCTGAACTCCCAAAGCTGAAACTTTCCATATGCCCAATCCTCAGTGAGGAAGAGAGTGCCAGGGGAGTGTGGAAAACAAAGGGTTCGGGAGGAGCCCAAGTTATGAATGGCTAGAGGCTGGCATTGACAAATGGGCACAGGGAAGCTGGTAACAGCATCACCTTCCGGCTGTCCAAGGATGCCAGCCTTCAAAAGGGAGGGGCCGGATGTGTCCTCTATGGCTAAACATGGACATTGCGGCATCATGCTTGACAACCCTTCACCAATAATCAGTCAAACATGGACATCATGGCGTCATGCTTGATAACCCTTCACCAATAATCAATCAAGAAAGATCCATTAAAGCCACATACCCTATCCTGGGGTTATTTCTCAAGTAGAAAGCATAGTCTTTTCTGTTGAGGAAAAAATGGAAGGGATGAGGCTCCAGGAGTAAAACATAAGGACTTCCTGGCCTATCGCATTTGGGAACTTCCTATCTTAGAATTCCCACAGCGTTGCACGGAACGGCCTCTCCTGAGCCCTTGGCTTTTCCTTCTTTGCTTTATGCCGCAGCCCCTGGCATCACCCATCCTGAGACGGCTGATTTCCTTTCAGATACTGCAGTTTGGAAATTGGAGCTCATTTGACAGAGGACTGTTCTGCGCGTGTCTCCTTTAAACAAAAGGACACATGACTACTATTGCCCCCTCTTTCCCAGAGGATCCTAAACGTGCACTAGTAAAACAGCCGAAAGCATCTTAAGCATCGAAGCCCAGCAGCCAGCTTTCCATTTTGCCAAGGGAGGATGTTAGAAAAACGAACTACCATTTGCCATCGCCTTTAATTAAAAAAGAACATTTTAACACCAAACAAGTAGAAAAGACAATCTCAAAATAAAAGAGACTTTTTAAGTGGAAATAAATAGCATTATAAGAAACTTAGAAAACTTTTTTTCTTATTTTATGACAGGCTAGTCAAAATTGTCATAAGACTGTACCCTTTCGTAGACAGGCACTTGGAGCCACCATTCGGGGCCATTTGGAGGTGGCTTTTGGGGGGAATGGAGAGAAAAGAGAGGTGTTTCTTCTCTAATCCCATGACGCTGAGGCTCAGCTCAGAACAAAACACTTAAACACTTTAGTGAGGAAGTCGCTTCTTGCTGAGACTTGTGAAAACAACCTAAGAGCGATACAAATGAAGTGGATGAGGGCGGGCTCAATACCTCTGAAACCCCGAAACTTGCTGGAAAAACTTTCGTAGCAGATCTGGCCTCTGCACAGTTTTGTAAATGGTTGATCCAGAAAGGTTATCTTCCCAAGCAGGTTTTTCCGCCAACAAATCTAGCTGGTTTGGAAATCTTTTAGAATTTTTATTTACCATGATGTTATATGCGTACTCGTATATAAATGCCATTTTTATAGTTCCCCCCGCTCCCCCGTCCATTTTCTGTGAGCTGTTCATTGTACCAGCCAAAGCTTGCCAACACTGGTCTGCACTGAGGACCTAACCCCCTGCGTGGCAAGGGGCTTCTGTGCTTATGAGAACCCGCCTCTGGGCAGAGCTTCTGCCGCGCAGGGACCACTCTTGTCATCGTTGTCCCTCTGGCACCCAGTCCGACCAAGAGAAGGTGCTCATTAAATGTTTGTGGAATATATTAGCAAATAAGAACCAGAAGAAAGTGAGTCACCTTGAGGCACAGGGATTTGGGACCTTGGGTTTTAGATAATGGAAGATCTTATTGTTAAAGTCAAGGCTGGGCCATCCTCAGGGCCCAGGAGGGGAAGGATGGGAGCTAGATTGGTTTTGAAAGACCTTCTTAAAGGCAAGGACCACCCATTCGGAAGGCAAGGACACCTAGACTAGGAGAAGCTGCGTGACCTTCCTGTCACCCATGCCAGGCTTTGGGTCTCTGTCAGCAGAGAGGTGTGGGTTTGAGGAACTAGGAGTGGTACAGCATTTGTGGTCCACGTGGCAAACCACTCAGGCCTTCCCTTGCTACTCCCTGCCTAAAATAAGCCAGGACAGAGACCTGGCCTGGGCACCCTCCTTCCCCAGTGCTTACTGGTCCTGGTGTGCCTGCAGGGCTTGTCTCTGGTGGTAGTGCTGGTGACAGGTGGTAGTGCTGGTGACAGGTGGTAGTGCTGGTGACAGGGGCCTGGTGGGAAGTCAGGTGGGGGCTGCATCATCTGCTTCTGATTCCCTCTCTGACCTCACCTACTCTCCCACTCTGTCACCAGACCCCAGCCTCGCTGGACTTGTAGCACCCCCTGGAACACGCCACGTTCCTTTCAGCCTCCAGGGCTTTGCACTTGCCTGTCCCTCTGCCTGGAAGAGTCTGACCAGATGTCTGCTGATCCACCTCCTTTGTACCAGTCACATCTCACTCGTCAGACAGGCCTGACCACTCCCCGCCCCCCACCCCATCTAAAGTGCCTGGTTGGGCACAAACCACTCCATCACATGTTTGTCTTCACAGCCCACGATGCTGCCTGAAACAACATTATGCTGTTGTTTTCTCATTTCTTATTGGTCTTCCCCACTCGACTGAAAGCTCCGTGTGGGCAAAGGCTTTGTCCCTAGTGCCTAGCACACAGTAAGGGCTCAGCAAATATTTGTTGAATGAATGAGTGACAGATGGAGGAGACACTAGGTTTTAGAGGGTCCAGCATAAGCCCGACCATGCTCTCCTGGGTTCCTACCTGATCCCCAGGGAAGGTCCTAGGAGAGGTGGCACCGGGCCCCACTCTCTAATGTGTGTTCCTGCATGTGACTCCCCCTTGGCTGCTGGTCACTGGAGGTGGCTGCAGATTTTGCAAGGTGATGAAAGGCAGTGAAGAGAGCAGTCATGGACCCTGTGGCCGATGGCTGCACAATGCTGGCTTGGCAGAAGGGGTCCAGTTCCAGTCCCACTTAACCTCCAGGCTGAACCCAGGGCCCAGGAGGCAAAATCCTTCTAGCTCCCAGTCAGGAGCTCCACCACCGGCTATGAAGGGTGGGAGCTTCAGTGCAGATGTCCTGAGAAGGGGAAGAAGAGGGGAGACTAGCATGCTGAAGATGCCTTTGAGGGACCCTTGGGATCCCCACAGCCTCCTCAGTCTACCCGTCATGTGGGTCATAAGGAAATTGAGGCTCAGGGAAGTCAAGATCACACGCCTTGTGGAAGACAGAACCGCCTTTCCCTACCTGCCCCAACAACTCAAACCTTTTGACTTTCAGGCCAGTGTCAAGCCCTTTCCCATAAAAGAGACTCATTCATTCTTCATTCATTCATTCAGTAGACACTGAGAATCTGCTCTGTGACAGTCTCTACTCCAAGTCCTAGGGCTACAGAAGGGAATAAAGCAAAACATCTGAACATCTGCCCTCCTGGGACTTCCAGTCTAGTAGAGAGACAGACAACAAAAAAGCAAACTCTGAAGTGTATAACACAACATTAGGAGGTTCTACTAGAAGTGGTGGTGTGAGCAGCCCCACACCTCTGGTCATTGAGTCTTTGATTGACTGTCCAAAGATGACAGGAGCACCTTACCCTAAGGCCTGTAGGTGGAGAGGAGAGGGAAATGGGCCCAGGGAGCCTTCTAAAGCCTGCAGTTAGCTTCCTGCTTGAGTGCAGAAGGCCAAGCAGCCCAAGGCAAGAGGCCCTTCTGAAAGGTAGGCGTCGCCTGGCCTCTGCCCTCACCTCTGCCTGTCTCCCCAGCCGTGTGCCAGCCGCCGTGCCAGAACAGGGGCTCCTGCAGCCGGCCCCAGCTCTGTGTGTGCCGCTCTGGCTTCCGTGGAGCCCGCTGCGAGGAAGTCATCCCTGAGGAGGAATTTGACCCCCAGAACTCCAGGCCAGCACCCCGACGCTCAGCGGAGGGTTCACCCAACCTGCGTAGGAGCAGCACAGCCAGAGAAAGCCCTGCGGCCAGAGCACAGTCACTGGCACCACAGCTGCCCCCGGCCAGGTAAGTCCCCTCCTCAGTGGAACCTCGGGTCCAGGGGCACAGTCTCCCTCTGGGGGGGGGGGCTTCTTCCTGAGGACTATTTGGTGAAGGCTTGGTGGAGAAGGCTGGAGTTGTCCTTCCTTCCCTCCTCCCCACTCTTGTCCCCTTTCCCTGCCCCTGCCAGGGATGTAGAGAGCAGGGGAGCAGGTGTAGGGGTTGGCGCAGGCTTTGCCAGGCTGGGGAGGACTGGGAAGGCTGGGGGTGGGAGGTGAACGCTTTGCTCTCCAGGTCCTGGGAGAAAGCTGAGGAGGGCATGTCCCTGGGACCAGGCTTTCTTGTTTCCAGTTCTGACATTGCCACTTCCTAGATGGGTGACCTGGGGCAAGTTGCTTACCTTTCTGATTCCTCCTCAGTAGGGTGAGGACAATGATGATAACCATAATCCTGGAATTGTTGTAAGGATTAGGGTAGTTAATATAAGGAAAGTGCTTAGAACAGTGCCTGGCACATAGAAAATTCTTTATAAATGTCTCTCCCGTCTCTGCCTGCAGTCCCTGTGATGCAGGAAGGACTCCTCTGCCAGAAAAAAAACCCCGTCAGTGCACTCACCACCCAGTGCTGACCTCTCTCCTTGGAGGCGAAGAGAAGGAGCTTGTAGGAGAAGGGAGCAGAACAAAAAGTGGGCAAACGGAGTGTTCGTGGGCAGGCGTCCCTGGCCTGCTTGCCAGCCAACCTGGCTAGACTTTTACTAGCTCAGGACAGGAAATCTGAACTTTGTAAACTGGTCCATTTCTAGGGGGTTATGTTTTCCTTTTGGTTTTTCAGGTTTGTTTTTCCATTCGCTTCCTACTTAGGAAGTTCTTTGTGAAATGTTGCAACCTTGTCTTGCTGAACTAAGGGGAAAAAGGATTTGCCCTCTGGGAGGCCTGGAGAACCAGGGAGAGGAAGCTGACCTTGGAGTCAGGTCCCCAGGCAGAAAGCTCAGGAGAGAAAGGAAAGGAGCTTGAGATTGTTCAGCAACTCTGAAGAGGGTGGTGGGCTGACCAGGGTCTTGGTAAAGTAGAGTTCAGGGCCCTATCTCCCAAGCAGGTGGTTTCCAAAAACAGCCAGGAGCAGGAAGAGAAGAAGGATGACCTCAGATCAAGCCCTAGGGAGTTCCAAGGTCAAAACCAGAAGCGCCAAACCTTTCAGCCAAGGCCAGGGGATGCTGGGGCAGAGAAAGGGACAGAGCTAAATGGCCAGGTAGACAACACAGGGGCAGGAGAAAGGCCTGGGATTGACTGTGAGCAGGTGGGCAGGGCCTGAACCCTGTTCTGACTGGTCCTGGCTGCGACTGCTTTCCGAGGTGGGTGGGCGTGGTATGAAGGCACCTGAAAGAGCCCCAGAGGTGCCAGTTCCAGGACCCACCAGGTGCAGGGTGGAAGCAGAGTCCTTCCATTTGGGCTTTCCCCTTGCAAGCTCTTTTTTGGCTTGTGATTCATTCATTTTCTGATGCTCTGATCTCCTGTGTGTGTGCATGCGTGTGAGTGTTGGGGGGCGGTTGCTTGGTGGGTCATTCTGCTCTCAAACCCTTGAGTCAGGGAATGTCTGACATCCTCTGCCCCATCTTCCCAGCCCGTCCTACCCCTCACATTCTCCAAAGCTCACTCCCACCTCCTCCCTAAAGCCCCAGTCCTAATCACTTCTACCCAGCTATCCGACCCCCTGACACACTTGGCACACATCCCTGTGGGTCTGTGCCTTGAGTCTGCAATCAGACTGTGTGGCCTGTGCTCTGAAAGGCAGTGACTCTGTCTTGCACTCTGTACTTCCCCACAGCTCCTCCCATAGTCCTAGCTTACAGAAAGTACTCAGCCTGCATTTGCACTCTGTCACTTGGTCCATACTGAAGAGTTGGATTTGAACCCTCACCCTGTGCCTGAAACCGAGGGCACAGCCCCCCGTGCTGCTTGCAGTGCATGAGGAAGCGAGGTTCCCTGTCTCCCTATGTAGCTAGCACTTTTTACTCTGCCTTGGGGTGGCCTGTTTAGTTGCTCGCTAGACCAGGAGCTCCAGAGAGCATGGACTGAATCCTACTCATCCATGAATGTGGCCCTGGTACCTAACACAGTGCCTGGCACACTGTAGGTGCTCAATCAACAGAAGCAGTGGATAAATGAGTGAGGCTTGATGCTGGGGAGAGGAAGAGGCTGGGAGGGAAGGAGGATGAGCTATGGGAGCCTTGGCTCTCCCAGCAAAGGTTTCATGTGCGCAAGAGGCGCCGGACGGGGAAGGCCCGGGGTGAGGTCTCTGGCCCACAGCAGGACCATGCTCTTTGAGTTTCACAGGCTCCCTGGCCAAGGGCTACTGTGATGTTTTTAATGAGCTGCAGCCTGCAGGCCAGCCCAGTCTCTCTCTGCCCTGGGACCTCAATGCCATGAAATCTGGGAAAGTCCGAGTGGTCCACTGTCGGCCCAGCTGTGTTTTGCTTTGGGAGGCCAAATCTCACTTGCCTGGTGGTGTCAGGCATTTCCTGTGAGCTTAGCCAGGTTTCCCAAGCAGCTGCTGGCCCCTCTCCTGATGGCAACTTGGACAGGCCCTTGGTGTCCAGCTAGAGGAGGTGACATGACTCAGGGACATTCTAAGAGTGAGAGGGGAGTGCAGAAGGTCCAGGGAGGGGAGACACTGCAGGGACTGGTGATGGCCAGAGGCCCTCTGTAGAACGGCACTAGAAAGAGGCCAAGAGACTTATGTCCCAGAAGGAGGGGCCAGGAGAGTCTCTGGCAGCAGGCAGGACGCCCTACGGAGAGTCAGACGTGGATCGATGTTGTACATCTGCGTCCCAGGCTGACTGCAGGGGCCTGCAGGCTCCTTCTGAGCCCCAGGTCTAGGTTTGTTCTCCAAGGCTGGGCAGAGGGCCTCCCCACCTGGAAGCAAGAGCCAGGCATCTGGGGAAGGGCCTTGAGAGATCGGGGAAGGGTATGGTTACAACCTGGGACCAGCAGGCCTTGGAAACACAGTGCTTTGCACAGTGCTTCTTAATCTTCAATGGGCATGTGAATGATCTGGGAACTTAATGTGCAACTTCTGATTCAGCAGGTCTGGGGGGGGTGAGCGTCAGGTCTCAGGTGATAGTAATGCTGCTGGTCCATGGACCACACCTTGAGTAGTGAGGGTCCGAGCCAAGGCTTTTGGACAATCCTAAGTTCCAATCCTGGGTTTACCACTCATCAGCTGTGTGACATTAGGCAAGCATCCTAACCTCTCTGAGTCAGTAGTTTCCACCTGATAGGATTGCAGAGAGGATTAAATGAGATCATAAGAGTAGAGCACTTAGTATGGTGCCTGTTTTTATAATAGTGCTCAACACCTGTTAGCCATCAGTGGGCTGGTTCTCTTTGCCATGGGGACTTGAGTGAACAGGAAACTGTGGTAAAGACCAGACAGAAAACCAGAGTGCATGCATATGTGCAAGCTCACGTGTGCATATGTGTGTGCAGAGCTGCTCTGGGAAGAAGGCAGAGTCCAGACCCAGACGCAGGGGAGGCGCGACTGGCAGTAGCACCAATGGTGGCTTTGGCTGGTTTTATTGTGCCACCAGGACCAGTCTCACCAGCTCTATGGGGGAAAGGGTCAAGGGGAGGTGTCATGACATTTTTCAGAATGGCAGGGACCTCCACTGGGTTTGCCCCTCGGCCCGACTTAGAGCCTGAGCCCTGGGGACGTCTTAAGCAGGCTTAGTCAGTACTTGGGCAGCAAGGGGTCTGGTGTAGAGCAGGGCAAGCAGGGGTGGCAGGGAGGTGTCTGGGCAGCTGTGGACCCCATGATGGTGGCTTTCAGTGGGCTGCTCCCCTGGAAGGCAGCTGGAGTCCGCCTTCTTTTTACTGACCCAGTCTCTCCCTCCCTTTCTGGATCACCCCCTCTATGCACACCTCAACTTTTTATCCCGTGTTAGTTTTGTGTGGCTGCCATAACAGATTGCCACATATCTGGCAGCTTAAAACAATGCAAATGTATTATCCTACAGTTCTATCGGTCAAACCTCAGACACAGGCCCAACCAGGCTAAAGTCAAGGTGACATAGGGTAGAGTTCCTGGGGGCTCTAAGGGAGAATCTGTTCCTTTACTCATTCAAAATGTTGGCAGAATTCAGTTCCTTACAGTTGTAGGACTGAGGTCTCCATTTCCTTGCTGGCTGTCACCTCAGGGCCATTCATAGCATCCAGAAGCCACTCCTTCCTTGGCTTGTGACCACCTTCCTGTCTTCAAAGCCAGCAACTCCTCGTGTTTTGACTCTTCCCTCTGCCTCCATTTTCGGCTGAGCCTCTCTCACTGACTCGTCTGCTTTCTTTCACGTCTAAGGGCCTGTGTGATTCCATTGGGCACCGACAAATCGTCCAGGACAATCTCCCTATTTTAAGGCCAGCTGGTTAGCAACCTTCATTTCCTTTTGCTGTTTAATGTAATGTGTTCAAGGCACAACACCAGGTGACAAAGATCATGGGAGCCAATCACATCCACCCATTGCAGTTCGTTCCATCTGGGACCCTCCGCCTGAGTGTAACAGCTCCCCTTGTCAAGAGCTTGTCACAGGGGTGGCCCTACATGATCTGGCCCCCAAAACTTTCCTGACATCTCTGACGTCAGCTCTAACAACTCACTCCCCTCACCCTCCCTGCTCCTGCCATATAAGCCAACTGGTGTTCCCCCAAACATGCCAGAGATGCTTTGACCTCGGGGCCTTTGCACTTGCTATGCCCCTCCCTGGAGCACTATGGTAGTTTCCTAGGACTGCCATAACAGATTACCACAAACTGAGTGGCTTAAAACACCAAAAATTTATTCTCTCACAGTTCAGCAAGCCAGAAGTCCAAAATCAAAGTGCTAGAAGGGTTGTTTCTTCCAAAGGTTCTGAGAGTGAAATTGTTCCATGCTTTTCTCCTGGCATCTGGCAGCTCCTCGCAATCCTTGGTGTCCTTTAGCTAGTAGTGCATCACCCTAAGCTCTTCCTCCATTGTCAGTTGGTCTCTCTCTCTCTCTTT